TTAGTAGTTCCACTTTCCACACTTACATAGTATAACACCTAACATAAAGTATGTGTAACGTAAGTATAATTTTAAATTTATATAACAATTTAATTAACACAATTTTTTATAATATATTTATAACAATTTAATAATATATGTATAACAATAGGACGACGATATAAGCACTTACTTAAAAAATTTTTGCAATTTATGTTAAAAAAAAAAAAAATAAACCAGTCGAACACAAAATTATTGTTATTATTCAAGTCTTTCTAAAATTTTTGTTTTTTTTTTTTTTTCAAAAATATTTATTTACATAATTTTATCGATTTAAATTCAATTATCGTAAACAAATATGTTTATTTTTTCTTATTTCGATACAAATGTGCTAATTAAAACGAAAAAATAAGAACAAAATTATTTAAGAAAAAAAAAAAACAGAAACAAAATTATCATATGATCTGTTAAAATTGAAGTTGAAGTTGAGATTGGAGTTATTACAAAATAATGTAATGTAATGTTAACTTAATGCTTAATATGTAAGAGTAAAATAAATGTTAATTAAATAACATAACATTTTGAAAATGCAAATGTAATACAAGAATTAGATTATTCGAAAATTATAATATAAAATTATATAGTTAGGTACATAAATATATATCGACGGCTCCATATATAACTATTCTAAGCACACTTACAATAAGAGTTTTCCCTGCTTCTTATCGTATAAGATATCGTAAAATTTATATTATATTTGTTTACTTACATTTAGATTGCTTGAAAAAAATGCAAATTTTAACTAAAGTTGTAACAATAATTAAAAAATATTAAGTTTTTGTAAAAAGTGTTACAATATGTATGTATTTTCATACAAAATGCATTTGTTCGAACTCTTCTTAAATTTTAAAACATTACCTTTCATCATAATTCTATATTTATACATGAAAAGCAATATAAGCGAATACTCTAACATAAACTAATATCACATACAGTTTGTGGAATGTTTTTTATTGTTAATATTAAATACCTACACTAAAAATGTTATTTTGTTCGCGATTGTATGACGATTTACAGTGTAAATTACTATTAAGAAAATTATTTCCAATATTTTGCCTTCCATTTCATTGCGACATTATTTTTTGCTCTCCTCAAAACCTATGTTTTTGAGATACAATAGTTGTACCCGGAACCGTTGATATATAAATATATAGGTACATAAATAATTTTGATTATTTTATGCACCTGTAACTTGCAGCCAGTAGTGTAGCAGTTAAGTTATACATATGTTGTAATATATGTATTCACAAAAAAACTCTATATATTTTCAATATTAGAATTTCGAAAATTCATTTAATATTAAGAGAAAAATATCGTTTACAAAATTCTCATAATTAACACAATAAAAACAAAAAAAAATTATTTTTAATTAAATAATAAAATTTAAAAATTCTTTAATATGCATGTATGTATATAAGATACAGTTATAATACTACACTAATTTCATATTCGAAATATGTACATTGTATGAGTATGTATGTATGTATGTCAACCAGTCAACTTTTATTTTTAATAATTTTCTTTTTCTTTAAAACTTTCTTAATTTTTGAATTACATATATAATAAACGTACACACAATATCAATCGGTATTTGTATATATAATATATATTATATCTATATATGTACATACTCGTACATAATATCAAGAACTTGAATATATCTAAATAAACAATGTAATTACGTCTATATAGAAAGTCAAAAAAAAAAAAACCGAAGATAAAAAAGCACGTTTTTTCCTTTCTTGTTTTACTTCATTTATTTGCTGGCCTTTATGAGAGTGCCGTACTGCCGTGGTGGCGTAACTATAGCTAACAAAATAATAATAATTTTATGCATTACAAAAAAAAAAGCAGCAACAACAACGAAACGAGCGGAAAATTCGAAAATTGAAAAATCACAATAAAATTCACAACAATAAAAAAACAAAAAAAATAATAAAAATGATCTTGTCAAACATACCAAAAAACTTGTTTTATTGAAAAATATTCTTGAATTTCTTTTGTTGTTTTTTTTCGTTTTTTACTTTGTAACTTTTTCGAAAATACTAAAATTAAGAAAAATTATAAATTTTATTTAATTTTCATAAAATTTGTTTTTGTTTTCCTTTTGTATTTTTAAATTTTTTAATAATTTTTAATAATTGAAATTTTAAAAATTAAAAACTAATTAATTATTTTTTATATTTTCTTGCATTATTTTATTTTTTACATGTGTACGGCTTTACTATAAATATAATAATTATTTTAAGTTATTACTTTTTAAAATTATTTTCCACAATTTTTTTTAAGTTTTTAATATTTTTCCCAATTTTCTTAAACTCCTTTTTCTTGTAGTTCTCATAACAAAAAATAAATTCTTACTAAATGAAAAATTTTTAATGAAAAATCATAAGAATAAAATCAAAATCATGGAGAATAAAAAAAAAATTTCAACAATATTAATATATTTGTCATGTACGTGTGTATGTATACATGGATATATTGTTTTACTTAAGTAATATGTGTGCGTGCACTTGTATATTTATATAATATAATATAATACATTTTATATGTTACGGTGAAATTACTTAATTTGAAAAATTTGGAAAATAATTTCATTTAAATTATAATTGCAATTTAATTTATAAGTGTGGCTGTTATCATTGTCATTAAAAATTACTAAAAGAAAAAAACTACAAAAAAAAAAAATTAGTAAATGATAAAGAGCTGCTCATTAATTTTTTTTTTTAAATAGAGGTACCGATTTTTAATAGCCACATAAAATTACAATGCCCAATGGTAACTATTTTTGATAGTTCAAGTTCATTTTTCAATGATGACAAAAATGTGAATGATGGAAATTATCAAATCGAAAATGCGTTGAAATTATGGAACAGTTAAAATTATGAGACAGTCGTTTCGGAGTGCGAACGTTCATCGAATCTGTTATTTGATTGAAAGAAAAATAGTAATACCACGAGGAGAGAAGAGGTCGATGTCCGATATTATTACTATCTACAAAATTTATAATGGCTGTCAAATATCGAAAGTATGGAAAAGATTAATTGATTCGATTGAATCGTCCAAATTTGAGATTTTTGTTTGATGTGCTTACTGAAATTCGTCTAAATATGGCAATGTTTTTAAGTAATGGGAGTTATATAGCAATGTTTATTTAATTTGACAAAAAAAATTTTATTTGTATACCAATAATATAATGTATTTCGTGCCGAACATACGGAATTTAGCAAAGCTGTTTTTAAAGTTAATTTTTTTTTTGTTTTAAAAAACTGAAAATTCGGAAATATTTGTACATTTAAATTTATTTTATAAAATATTTTTAAAGTAAATGTATGTATATTGTGCGATTATCTGGCTTTAATTTGCACTAAATCGCACTTCTTTAGAAATTATATTCATTGAAAAAATTTTAGCAATCTATTTTATTTGCCTTTGCCGTAACATAAACATCATATTGGAAATATAAAATTGATGGACTTAAAATGGTAAAAATTTTTTATTATGGTGAATATGGTAAATAGAATGAGAGTGAGTAAAGTTAATAGGGAAATTAAAAACAAAAAAAAAAAAAAAAAAACAAAAAAGCTCCGTTGTTCTTTTTGAATTTAGAATATTTAGATAGTACTCGTAAATAGGTGAGGTACTTTAAATTTCATGCTCTTATGATAAACTTTATTGGGAAAATAATATATGTATATGTATTTAGTGCATTACATACATGTACGTATGTATGTTTGTAAGCTTCAACGATAAGATAGTTATTCTAAAACGAAAGATGCTTCTTGGTTTACTTTTGAGCTAATTAATTTGAAATTTCTTAGATTCTCGTAACATGTATTTGAAGTCAGTGTTAAAATATTATGTGCTAAAATATTATAAAATTCTCATCAATAGTTCACTGATTAAGCTAAAAAGTAAGAGATTAATTTCTCTCTAATTAGCGCTCTCTTTCTTAAATTAGAAGATTTTCATAACGAAATAAATTAAACAATAAAAGTTTATTGTGAATGTTTAAAGCCACAATTAAGTTGTCTACTATTGAAATTACAACAGTAGTTCCCTATAAAAGTGGTGATATGTATATTCCCGTTGTTCAATGTTACACCCATAATTCAATAATAATTTATATTGTCTAATACCGTTAATAATATTTAGTTAATTAAGCCGGGCTTAATTTACAAAATTTATCGGCCTTAATTTACAATTAAACCGAGTTAATTTTCCAAATTTTTGTCAAAAAGAAATATGAAAATTGGAGTTTAACTAATAATGAAATTGGAGGACTGTTTAAATTATAGAGGCCATTTACTTGACTTTGCGTTTAATTTTAACAGAGATTGAAATTAATAATTAATATTATTTTTTGAATAAAACTGCATATTATTATTTGAATAATTTGCATATTATTATTTGAATAATTTTATGTGCAAAAGATATAAAAATATAATAATATTTGATAACCTTTGTTTCTTTAAAATGGGTTGCTCGTGTTCTATAACAATCATGTAATTGGATTTACAAGAAAATTAACCGGGAATAATAAGGGTACAAGTTATTTTAATAATAAAATAATTATTCATTGTCCAAATTTTCGAAACTTGCTGTTTAATATTATTTAAAAATAATTATATTTGCATTTCTTTAATTACTTACAAATAAATAAAAAATGTGTTATGAAATTTATTGACCAAACACCATATCTTCATACTTATTGTATTTATAAGTAAAATTTCATGTAAATTAATACTAATTAGAATATTATTAACTAAATCGTTTTAATTCTGTCTTACCTTCATCATTTATGAATCATAATAGTGTTAAAAAATAAACTAGATTTTCATTTATTTAAACAAAATAAAAAAAAATGAGTAATAAGATAACCCCCATATACACACAGATAACCCTATAAAGAAAATCGCTCTGCAAACTAAGTAAAATTAAAAAAGATTCTGCTACTATTTAAATCTACAATAAGATCAGTATACTAAATCACACGGATAGCAATCAAGTTGATGCGCTTTACATTGAATATTTTGATTAATTTTCTACGAAATACCATTTTTCATAAATTAAGTAGTTTAATTGTTTCTTTTATTTAGTATACAGGTTCTTTTTCATAAGTGTTTTTTAATTATACTCTTCATGATTGGTCTTTTCTTTAATCTCAATAATCATTTTCCAAGTTACTAGTATAAATCTAAAACACCTTAAAATATAAAATATTTTTAATTCGATTTGTTACATTCATAATTTTATCCATAAAATAGTGAAAAATGTCCAAATTATGGGGTGGTCGTTTTAATTCAACAACAAATTCTGATTTAAATAAATTAAATTGTAGTTTACCAGTTGATTCTAGATTATTTGCTGAAGATATTGATGGTAGTAAAGCATATGCAAAAATACTTAAAGAAGCTGGTGTACTTACTCCAACTGAATGTAATGATATACAAAAAGGATTAGAATTAGTACGATATGAGTGGATAGAGAAATTAATTAAATTACAAGATACTGATGAAGATGTTCATACAGTTAATGAAAGACGTTTAATTGAAATTATTGGAAATGTTGGAGAAAAATTGCATACTGGTCGTAGTAGAAATGATCAAGGTAAATTTAAAAAAAAAAAAAACAAAATAAATTAAAAAAATAATTATTGAAATGCATATTAATTTTTTTTTAGTAATAACGGATATGAAATTATGGATGAAAAAAGCTGTTTCAGAAATAAAATTAAATTTAAAATTATGTATGGGAGCGCAAATAGAAATAGCGGATTTAAACGATGAGGTTTTAATGCCTGGTTACACTCATTTACAAAGAGCACAACCAATAAAATTTTCTCATTTTATTTTAAGTCATGCATTTGCATTGCATGAAGACTGTTTACGTTTAGTTGATTATGAAAAAAGATCAGATATCTTGCCATTGGGTAGTGGCGCTTTAGCTGGAAACCCATTTAATATTGATAGAAATCTTCTAGCAACATATTTAGGATTTACAAAAATTACTCAAAATAGTATGCATGCTGTTGGTGATAGAGATTTTATAGGTAGCTTTAAATTTCCATAGAACAATTAAATTTGTATTGTCTATCTGATTTGGTTAACTTTAATTTTTAGTTGAGTTTATTTTCATATTAAATATGATTGGAATACATTTGTCTCGTTTGGCGGAAGATCTTATATTATATGCAACCAAAGAATTCAATTTTGTACGTATATCAGATGAATATTCGACCGGAAGTAGTTTAATGCCTCAAAAACGTAATCCAGATAGTTTAGAACTTGTTCGTGGTTTATCTGGTAAAATATTTGCGTCATTATCCGGTTTAATGATGATTATAAAAGGGACTCCGTCTACTTATAATAAAGATTTACAAATGGATAAAAGTTTTGTTTTTGATGGTTTTGATTATTTAAAAAGTTCCTTGAATGTTATAACTGGTGTTTTAAAAACATTAAAAATAAATAAGGAATGTATGCTGAACTGTTTAAGTTCAGATATGTTAGCAACAGATTTGGTATTAATTTTAAACTCTATTTTGGTGACTTTTTGATTTATTGAAATATTTTAGGCTTATTATCTAGTACGTAATGGAACTCCATTTCGAACAGCACATCATACAGTTGGGCAAGTTGTCGCATATGCTGAAACTCTTAACACTGATTTGGAAAAACTAAATATGGAAGATCTTTCAAAAATTGGAGATTTTAGATCGGATGTTAGAAAAGTTTTTGATTATAATGCGAGCGTAGAACAGTACGATGTTGTAGGTGGTACTAGTAGCTCATCAATAAGGAAACAAATTGAATATTTAAAAGAATTTTTAAAAAATTTTTAATAAATTTTAAAGCTCTTGAATAGAAAATTTAATTTTCTTTTTTTTATACATTTGTAAAATGCATATACTTAGATAGATAGGTACTTTAAAAACAATCAACAATTAATATTTATCTTTTCTTATTGAAAAAGTTTACAGAGTTCACAGCATAATCTGTACAAAGGTAAACCAACTACAGTAAAATAATCGCCCTCAATGCTTTTAATTAGACAACCACCAATCCCTTGTACCCCATATCCACCAGCTTTGTCTCTAAAAAAATTAAAAGCTTAAATAACGTATTGATTTTTAAAATAAAAAAATCATATTACAAAGGTTCTCCTGTATTAACATATGATTGAATTTGTTCCTTCGTTATATCACCAAAAGTTACTTTACATGATTCATGGAATTTGATACTTCCTTTTGAATGTTTTATAACTACACCGGTATAAACGACATGAGTTTTACCAGCTAATCTTGAATAAAAATTGATTCGATAAAAATAACTTGTTCAAATAAACTACAATTAGACTCTTACTCTGACAACATTTGAAACGCGATTTCAGGAGTCTTTGGTTTTCCAAACATTTTTTCATTTAACGTAACCATAGTATCAGCTGCTATCACAATATCCGGTGCCGTTGAATTTCTAGTAAGCCTATCAAAAACTTCTATGGCTTTCCCATTTGCAGTTTCTATTACAAAGCTTGCAAAATCTGGGAATTCTTTATAATCTAAGTTTTCCTCAAATTCAGAAGGACATAACTCAACTTCAAGGCCCTAAAAAACGGAAGAATAATATAATAATTGACTAAAAACTGAAAAAAATTCTTACAATATTTTTAACTAGTTCTTGCCTTCGAGGTGATCCACTTGCTAATACAATATGTTTTGCTTTTAATAAGTGTTTTATTGGACCTAACATTTTTTTGCGAGTATAATAATTTCTATTTAATTTTTGAAATTCAAAACAAAAACAACATTGAAATTCATAATATTTTGAAGTTTCAATTAACGTCAGTTTAGTGTTCAACATCATTTTACCATTGTTTAAAACGTCAAAATGGGTGAAATTTGTAAAGAAGCGTTTATAAATTACTTAAGTTAATTATTCTAAAATTTATATTATAAGATAAATTTAATCAATATTGTGGTTGATAACACACAAATAATTTTATATTAAGTAATTTTTAATAAACTAATTTCCAGACTCAATTTAATGAAAACAAAATTATTACATTTGCTTTTCACATTAAAAAATTTTCATCATCAGATTTTATAAATTCTACTTCTTTTTATTTTTTTAAATGGCATAAATATGTAATATATAAATGGACATTTTATTTGTAAAAATAAAAATTGTCAAATTATTTTGAACTAGCATTTCCGGCATTTCCTAATACATAAATGAGTTTGCTTCAGATAAAAAAAACCAATCGAACGACTATTCTGCAACATTTTTTTAAAAACTTGGCACATATTGTTTCGACTACACATCAGATTTCCAACATATTCAGATTTAAATTAAGAATCAGATATAATCGAATGTGTACAAGACACCTTAAATCCGTTCCTGCCAAAAAAGTCAAAAGTTTGAATTACAAATTACGACATATCTTGAAATAATTACTGCACTGTACCTCAAAGCCACATTATTGCCGTTCCGGTGAAGATAATTCTTTCATATGGTATTGTTTGTAAAGCGACGGCTTGTCAATTTTTATATTATTTTTTGGTTCAACCCTAATAGTAATGCCACATATTAAAAAAATGTAAGTACATAAAAAAATAATTTGAAACACATGGAAATTTTATAAAAAATCGCCAACATCTTCTGTAATAATTGAGTTCTCCTTAATACATTTTGAAAATTTATTTAAAGTGTTTGAATTCTAATATCAATTTTATTCTAATATTATTTTAATATTTAGCCTAGATTGTATTTGATTATTATTTCTTATATGTTAAACTACCCAAAATTTATATAATTAAATGCATTATTTTTATTTATACATATAATTTATGTATAAAATGTTCTCGTTTTCCATTTTAATAATATTATATATTTAAAATAATGTAGTAAACACACTACCTTATTAAATGACATATTAAAAACGATACACGTTATCATTATTTTAAAACAAAAAAAAAGTTGTGGTGGAATGGTTTTGTTTGTTGCTAAGCCGCAGATTTCAAGAAATACAAAACTTCAAAAAACTTCAAAAAAGACAATAGATTTTCAATTTTTCATTTTTTTTTTTAGTTCATTTTGGATATCCTGTAGCGAAACACTTGTATTTGACGTGTAAAGCGCAATCAGCAGCATTTTTTTATTTTAACTCATCTGATTCCATTTATTAAATGTGTGAAAATTTTATCAAAGAATAAAGAAAAAGTAAAAAGGTATTCAAGTATTTTAAAATTGAGTTGAAAAGAAGCTTATCTCTAATTACGGAAAGAATTTAATTATTTCCAGTTAGTAAAGTTCTGAAAATTTAAAAAAATATTTGATAAAAGAACGGCGGAAACCACAAATCCATTGGAATTTTTTTTTATCGAATTCTCTGAAAAGAAAAGTAAAAATTTTTAATTTTTTTTTTTTTAAATATTGTAGTAGGCATAATCGAAAAATACCGAAAAAATTTATTGAAATTTGTAAAAATTTTTAAATATTTTACATTTTAATTTCATTTTACAAAAAATTAAGGAAAATTTTTAATCTATTTTTTTTTTTTTGTCTTTTTCGAAAATTTATTTTGCTATTTCGTTTGGATATAAAATGAACATCAGCACCACCACACCACACCAGTGAAAGTGTAAAAATTTAAAGAAAAGAAAAAAAAAAGGAATTAAAATTTAATTGTGCAAAATTTTGAAATTAAAAGCAAGAAAAAAAAGGGCGTCCCAAGATATACAGAAAAAAAAATTCATTAAAGGAAAATTGAAAAAAATTTAGTGAAAGTTTTTTTATTTTAAAAAAATTTTAATTTTTTTTGTACTTAAATTTTTTGATAAAAAAATTTCCTTAAGATTGTAGATAAAATTTTTTCTAGTGTATAAAAAAATTTTTTTTTAATCTTCAATTTATTTCTCTATTTATTTTAATTTTTAACAATATTGAAAAGTACATATTTATATTGTATTTTAATAAATTACACACTAAATGTATAAAATACAGGTTCATTGGACTACATACAAATTAAAAGTGTTATAAAAAGTGTTTGAAAAAATTTTACGAAAAGCAAAAATTATCAGCCAAGTGATTGGTTAGGTCATTTTGTATTTTGACATTAAAAGAATTTTTTAATAATTATTGTGAATGAAAACTATAAATTTAATTTATTAACAAAAAAAATTGAAAAAAAACAAGAAAATAATTGAACTGATAATAAAAAAAGAAGCGAAAAATTAAAAAAATCAAAACTTAATTAAAAAATAATTTATTAACTGTTAATTAAAACTGAATAAAAATTGATTTAAAAGGGACCTATTTCCGTCCTCAGTTAAGTTAATCTCAAATGTGTATGGCTATTGTGGTAAGTTTTCTTAAAACAAATTCTTAATTATTGAATTTTAATATTTTTTTTTTTTTTTGCCCAAAAAAATATTTTTTAACCTCAAAATGAATATAAGAAATTTTTATTCAAAATAGCTTAAATTATTTTATTTCATTGTCTATTAATATTGTAAACGCCTTCTAAATCATACGAGTAATATCATATTTCTCTATTAGTTGTATGTAAGTGGCATAGCAATTACGTACATGTACATATGTACATACATATATCAAATTGTACCACATTTTAAATGGAAAATGTCAAATTTAATAAAAAAAATAAAAAAAAAAATTAAAACAAAAATTGTGAATTGTGTGATGTCATAACTTATGTAAATTATATTTTGTATTCTCTTCCCTTAAATCTTCCCTAATAGAAAATAAGAGATTTGTTTTTGCACAACTTTAAATATTGATGTTTACGTCATACAAATTCTTTAAATATATATGTATACATTTTCGATATTAAAATTTTTGTATGGAGCAGGCGTTTGCAACAATATACTGCATGCATCACTCACCACATTATAATATTAAAGAAGAAAAATGAAGTTTCTGTCATTTATTTTAGATAAGAAGAACCGATAACCTATAAATGTAATAAACCGGAGGGGATAATTTTAATATTTAATGTTTTTATTTTAAAAATAATTAATTTAATAGTAAAAACTAATTTTATAAAGATTAATAATTTATTTTTTGAAGCATAAAGAGTTGCAAATGTTTTTCAATAAAGTACCATTGAAAATGTAATTTGGGTACAGAATAAAAATTAAATACATACAGAAATATGTACACATACTTACATATCAATTTAATTAAAAGAATTTATTTCTCGATTTATCTAGAATTTCTCTTCAATTATTTCAAAATATTTTAAATTACAGAAACTTTTAATTTAATTCAAAAAAAAATTTAGCATTCAATACAGAATATGCAAGTGTGTATGTATATATGTATATAAAATGTATATATGAAATGCCTGTATGACATAAAACTTTAATAATTTTCAAGTCAAACAAAAAAAAAAATAAGCAGCTATCTCATAAAATAGGGAATCGCCATTAATTAATATGAAAAAGAAAAAAAAAGAAAGAAAATCATTTTTTTTTCTTTTGTCTATTGTCTCACTTTTACATATTTCACATTAAAAAATAAAAAAAATTAAATTTTATCTGTGGCTATGACGCTGTCGTCGCCTGTTCATCGGAATTTTCGAAACAAAAAAAAAAATAATAAAAACGAAAAAGAAAACAAACGAGAATAAAATTTCTTGTAGTATTGTAGTGGTTAGTCAGTCAGTTTTGTTTGTGGTTTGAAATTTTAAAATAAAATAAAATTTTGTATTTTATAAAAATGTACGAAGTTATTAGAGAAGTAGTAAACCTCAAAAAAAAAAAAATTAATAAAATTTTTTTAATGCGGTGTAGTTGTGGTGTGGTTCTTCAGTTTTCAAATAATTTTATTTTCGATTTGGTATTCCCTTCTTCTACAAATGAGAGAACTACAACATTTTTAACTACAACTTTACAAGGCTGCACTACAATAATAAATATATAAAAAAAAATTATTCTACATTCTACATTTTTATTTACTTTTGCAGTAAATTACGTAGATATTTTATATATATAAAATATGTATATTTAAGAGAATATAATGATTATTGTTGAGTGATTTGAAAATGACAGAAAAAATATAATTTTTGCATGTGTGTGTGTTATTTCAAAGTCATTTTGCTTGTCATAAAAACTATCATTTAACTTTTGAAATTAAATTATTTAAAATGAGATTTATTGCATTTTCTATTATGTACTTTAACATTTATAAGATTTGAAAAGTGAAATACAATAAAGTTTTCGAGATTTAAACAAAATAAAGTGTTCTTAAGAATAAAAAACAAAATATCTATGTATTCGTAAAAAAAATAGTAGCAATCAACAGGTCCTACCTACTAAAATGAATTTTTCTTTGATTTCAAACAAAATAAATTTGCGATCTCAATTCTTAAAAGATCTTCAATAAAACATTTATCACCCCTATCTAATTTGTAAGAAATACTTTAAATTTTTTTTTACAATAGCACCTACCTATGTACTTCTTATATTTTTCATAAATGCATGGGTACCTACCTACCAAATTTTTGAAGAAAACTGGATTTCTTAGGCGGTTTTTAGGTATGCATATTTTCGAATCTTAAAACTTTCCTAAATTAATATGTAATTTGGTTAGAATTAGGTAAAATTTGTATGTAAAATATGTTATATTGATACTTGTATTTGTAGTAACATATGCCTAGTATTTATATATGCGTATTACAAGTTACATATGCGTCTTATGCTTATGTACATATGTATGTATTTTCACAAAAAATACGTCATGAATCCATTTTAAAAGAATTCCCGGATTTATTGTTATTATCATTTCATGTGTA